GCTTGTGTTCAAACAGGGAAGCTGCGACAGACATGAGAGTTGACCAGCCTGTCATTTATACATTCTGGAACGTCAAGATATTACTGCAATTTTGAAGAAAAGAAATAAAACTTCCTCTACTTCCATGGAATATGAGAGTCACAGCTGGCAGGCAGCTAGCAAGAGGAATTGTGCCTGTCATTTCTAGTCCACACAAGCACAAAATAAATCCTTTCTCTTTTTATTCCATGCCATGGATAGTTTAAGCTTGTCTTCTGTCAGGAGGTCTGCAGAAAGACTTTGTCTGTCTGCCAAAGCTCTTGTTAAATAAGCTCTTGCAAAGGCAGTTTTCACCTTTTGGTCCAATTCTTCATGGGTCAGATAATCCACAACTTCACCCGGGATCCTAATAAAACAGTCCTCAAGAGCTCCATGGACTTATAGGTGTTAAAGGCTGGAAACAACACCATAATTAAAAACAAATTAACAGGAAAACTGAAATTGCTTTAAGAAATGTTCCTGTCTTGTGTAACATCTCATAAATCTCAAATTACCTTTGAAACTTGGCTTCTTATTTCAGAATGGCTACAAGATCAACAAACCACTGCAAAGTAGTTACAACTTATAAAATTTACTTCTAAGGCCAGAGGATGCCTTTGACAGTTTTCATGGCACTGGAACTTATTTTAAAACTTACTTTTGAGAAAAGAAACAGCAGAGAGAAGCAGTACTGGAGGTTAGTAGCTGCAGTTGCATTAGTAATGAACATTTCCCCTGTACGACTGTTGCTTCCTGTTGAACTGGAAATAAATGAAGTCTTTTTAGCCAAAGCATTCTTGTCACAGCAAGAGTTATATACCTTGCAGCATCATTTAACCACATGTTTATAATAACACTTAGGTACTCGATGAAAATGAAAATCTCTTCAGGAAGTGTGAGTCGAACCTGCCGTGATGTTAGAAAAGGCTACGTTTTAAGTTTTAACCTATTCCTTATTTTATTATTATTATTATTATTATTTTAAATCTGATCCCGGGGACCTATATAGGATTTTGATTCCATGCAGAACATGAAATTTACTTCAAAATCATTTAGAAAACTATAGATGTATTCTGATGAAACCATCAGTTGTATCTTCATCAATTCAAAAGACAATTATAGAATTTGGTTTTGCAAGAAAGCACAGATTATCAAAAGCTGAAATTCATTGTGTCAAGATGGCTACAATTTCATCAGCCTGATGCTATTGGATGTTTCATTAAGAGCTCAAATCCTATGGGAAAAATTATGTGGTGATCTCAACTTTTATTTTGTTTAAAACAAAAAAAAAATTGTCCAACTCATCACTGGTTGCAGAGAAAAGCTTGAAAGTGTTTCCCAAGCATATTCTAGAAATTCCAGATCTGCAGGCAAGTAGAAGAGCCAGTAGATAATAGATTTTAAAAATCCATGTCATTGTGAACTTTTCTTGCAGTGCTTTTCAGGTCTGACAATCCTGCTTCCTTCAAAAAAAAGTCTGTTCATTTGTATTGTCAGAGAACTTCAGAAAATATAGCCTGTCATTTTTTTGTCAATTTACCATTTTTTTTTATCACTGCTAGTCATACAGCTTCTTTTATTACACCAGTTAGGCTGTACAGTTACTCAGCAAGTTTTGGAATGTTTATTTTCCCCTGACACTTACATTTTTGCTAAATCAATGAAATGATTATCAATTGCATCAGGCAAATCCCAAGCTTGCAAGGAAGGAATTTGTTTCTGCTTTCTGCTAGGCGGCATTGACACAGTGCAATATTTCGCTGGCTGAGATACATACAAAAGGCCAGAACAGGTCAACATGCCTTCTGAGCACAGCACAGCAGGCAACAGCAATGCTCAGGGGCAGCACCATGGGTGAGGCTGGCGTTGGACGAGCTCCTTCACCTACAACTGCCTGAGGTGGAAGCAAAGGCAGATGCACAAGTACAGAGAATTTAGAGAACGCAATCAATACTTAAGAGCTGAATTTTGCCTTAGGTGGGTATATAGTCCAGGGGTGCCTCTTCTGATAAGTATGTTCAACAGAGTATACTGAAAACTGTTTGAACAAAACAGTGCAGGACACCAACAGATAAGGGACTGTTTTGTTCACGCGCTCAGTTCCTGTGATGTCCAGATGAGGCCACTATGGTTTTATTCTCCTGATTGCAAGAAAGGAATTTAGTTTGATTACTTCAGAGTTTCCCATCTCCACAACCGAAAGCGTTTTTCTGCGAGCCTGTTTTTCTGTTGGAGAACAAAGAAAAGGAAATGGCTATTTTTTTCCCCACACACAGTGGTTACATTACTTTCAGAGGCAGGAAGGGAAGTGGACAATGTAAGCTGCAGATGTGGAGCTATTTTTTAAAATGCCCTCTGCTGCTGTTGCCTCACAGGCAGAAGAAGTAAGGCAATGCAGGAACAGGAGATGCTGGACCGAAGCAAATGGTTTTATTTTATAAAGGCACAGCTTCTGATATTCCCTGCCACAGGCTGGCAAAGCTTTCCAACCCGCACCAGGCCATAGCAGAGGCTGTTTCAAATAGACAGCATAGAGCAGAGCCAGGAAAGGGCAGCGAGTGCTTTGGCTGAGTCAGGCTGTTAGGAAATCTAGATTTCTGCAGGGAGAGGCTAGGCTGGGCCATGCCAAGTCTCCAGGCAGTGAATGCAGTGGAGGCACTCTCATCCAAAAATAGCTGACTGGACATGTGGGACTGTGATACAGTACAGCCATGCAGGATGGCAGCAGGTTGCTCCTTCCAGCTTTATTATCTCAAGAAAGCAAACAGGTTACTGTGTGCAAGCCCCCTGAAAGCCTTTTTTTCTTCCTTTCGCCTCTGCCACAGCAAAGGAATTGCCTGTTTAAATCTGAAAATTGGCATGTTTCTAACAACAGTTGGGCAGATAGCTTGGAGTCAGGGTTCATGAGGGACTCCCACGTTTGCATTTTGGCCTACTTGAGCTGCAGGACCATGTTTTAGGCTTCATTTTCTGCCATGCTGTTAAAGGCACAAGGGTGGCCTGTGGCTCTGTCTACCGCACCACTTCAGGCGGCGTGTTCGGGTGATGATAAACATGAGCACTGAGTCAGTGTTGTGGCTGTGATGGGATGTTTGATACAATGTTTGTTTGTAAACTGACAAATATTGGCGGAAGAAACTTGTGAGGGAGGGATCCGTAGCTGCTATGCAGGCTGACAGCATGCTCTGACCAAACAGCAACAACTGGCCTCAGCTCTTTGCAGGCTATTCCGGGGAATGCAGTATTTCACCTCCCACCTCTTAAAGGACCAGTTGTTCTTAGACCATGCAGCCGTGTTAAGGTGCATGCTGTAACTGTGCTTGTCATCGTGGTCCTGGCTGTTCTCCAGGCACATGGATGGATGTCCCTTCTCCTCTCAGGCAGAGGCGGTGCTATGGGGGACCTAAAACTGAACAGGAATTCAACAGTGTTCAGCAGCGGGAAAAGCCTGAGGGGACTGATTCCAAAGAGGCTGCCACAAGGCCATGACTCCCAACAGCATATTTGCTTGTAGTCCTTTAGCATGTGATCTATTGCAGGGCTTTAAAGAGAGGTCCTCTGAAGTGGGGTGGTGGGGGATACATACATTACCAGATCTGCCAGGAAGCAGAGAAGTGTCTTTGTCATCACTGGAAGAGAAAAACACTGAAAGTTATGTCCTGTTTACCAGAATTTTCACCTAGTTTACACGGTGCTTGAAGTCTTTGGATATCCTTTTTAGGGTCCCTTTGAGTTTGAACTCACCACGGGTTCCTGTAGCAATACAATTTCCTTTCATCATCAGAGCCAGCATCAGCTGTTGTCGGGTATTATTATACTTCATTTCTTCCTTCCTCTCCCATCAGTCCCTCCACCTGGACTTAAATGTCATGTATAGTTTGAGTTATTTAATTTATAGTCCCTGTGTACTCCAGGATATCTCAGAAATACAGAAAAATTGCCCAGGAAAAAGGGGGCTTCAAGTGGCTACATTTTCTGCAGCACATAAGAACCAGACCCCCAAACTTCACTGAAAGATGTGCAGGACATTTAGGACAAGGTAATTTGGGCAGAATTTTGGCAGAAAAGTTCAAAGTTGCTGCATGGGAAGATGCTCTTCTCCCAGGGAAAGACCCCAAGTCACTGCTGAAATGCGGACTGCATTATATTAGCTTGAGCCTTATATTGCACAACGTGACTGCTCACACTTGGCAACGTGGGTAGTGAATGATCATCCAAGTGGGCGCAGATACCACTGGAAAATGTCACTGCTGCAGTGAAAGTGGTGCCCTTTCTGCAAAGAAAGAGGCCTATATTCATTACAGAGATGATACATGAGGTAAAATATTGTTACAAGGGGTAATTTTTTCTAAACAAAGCAGAAAACAAGAACTTACAGGAAGATTCTTTACCTGCATTCTTGCAAAATACAAAATTTTCTGGTGGATTGGTAATTATTTCAGTGAAATGAGGAACATTAAAATAAAACTGGATTTTAAAAAACTGAAATGATAGCTTTTTTGTTTGCTTGTTTTCTCCAATAGTTTTCTTGTTTGTTTTTTGAAGTCACTCTTGTTAATTGTCCTGCAGCCATGGTATGTACTAGATAGCCAAGAAAGCTGACATGGGGAAGTTATATACAGCATCCTTGTGACCTTTTTGCAGTGAAGATACATATCTGTCCAATAAAGCCCAGGCCAAATGACAGTGACAGCTGCCTCATGGCATTCAGTTTGAATTGAACAGGTTTGCTCACAAGTCTGGAGCAAGTATTTCATTACAGACTGTGCACCAAGAACAACATAAGCCCCCAAAAGTGAAACTTTCCCTCAGCAACTATGGAAAATGCCCCGGTGGACTGAGATGCACTTCACAGGCTCCTCCTTATCTCCTTGCTTTGACTTTCCCGAAAGCTGTCAACCTCTGGTGGTATTTGCGTGTTGGTGTAGCACTTGCAGGAGAAGAAAATCTCCCTTCTTCTATCAGGAGCGATCCAGGGTGTTATGGGAACCAAGCACTCAAAGAACGAGGGAAGAAGAAGCATGCTTTTCCTGCGGAAAAGTTCAAAGTTGCCTGCATGGGAAGATGCTCTTCTCTCAGGGAAAGACCCCAAGTCACTGCTGAAACGGGGACTGCGCTATATTAGCTTGAGCCTTATAATGAAAGGGATGACCAGTGCCCCTGACTTCTTGTGGGGACTGCCTGAGGTGCAGAAACTGAACCTTTCACGTAACCAACTGGTGGCGATTTCTCCTTCACTGGGAAAACTAGACCGACTTGTAGTGCTGAACCTGGGTGGCAATCGCCTCAAGTGTCTGCCGAAGGAGATTGGACTACTGAGGAACCTGAAGGTTTTGTTTGTTAACATGAATTGCCTGACAGAAGTGCCAGCAGAGCTCAGCTTGTGCAGGAACCTGGAAGTTTTGAGCCTCTCGCACAATTGCATCTCACAACTGCCTTCAAGCTTCACTGACCTGACAAGCTTAAAGAAACTGAACCTCAGTAACAATCGCTTTGTGCAGATCCCCCTCTGCATTTTCGCACTGAGGAGCTTAGACTTCTTGCACCTGGGGTCCAACAGGCTTGAAAACATTGCAGAGAGCGTCCAGTACCTAGTCAATTTGCAAATCTTCATCATAGAGAATAATAACATACGCACTCTGCCGCGGTCTCTCTGCTTCATCACAGCTCTGGAGCTGCTAAACGTAGACAACAATTCCATACAGACTCTTCCCGATGAGCTCTATCTGCTGCACAGGCTGCCCCGGATTGCATGGAACCCAATGGACAAAGGCCTCCACATCTCCCACAACCCTCTGTCCCGACCGCTGCCTGAGATCATTGAGGGGGGACTGGATGTTCTCTTCAACTATCTAAAGGAGAAGAAGGAACACAACTAAGTTTCTGCCGGACTTGGGATTAAGCCTGTCATCATGACTCACTTGTGCCAGAGTACTTTCCTCAACGGTCACTTCCACTTCGTAATGTTTGGATTTCCAAGACTGTGGATGGCTTTAGTAATGGCTGGCAGAAAGCAAGTAAAGTGTGATAGTCCTGTTTAAGTGAGTGAAAAGTAAAATTTTCTAAAACTATCCACTCCTGTAGTCTTCAGAGTTGGAGTGTTTGGGCTTTTCTGGAGAGGAAGAAAACATGCAAACAATAAATGTTGATAAAATGTTTGCTCTTCTTTTTACAGAAACAAATTAAGGCAGATGGCTAGAAGTTTAGATATCTATACTTGCCAAATATTAGGTTGGAGAAATATTAATATAATTTGGATTTGCTATATGTGATTGAAGTTGCACTTTAACTCCTGCTCATTTCTTCGTGTGCAGCTATGACTGCATAAACAAACACTGCTACCTAAGTGAATCTCAAGGAAAATGTTTAATTCGCTTTCAGCAGTGTATATATCCTGAGCTATATTAGCCCAAAGACAGTATAGTATATCACTGGCCAGTTCAATATTACTTGTTGTTTACCCTGCAGCTGTGAGCTGGCTGCTATAAAATGCAGATGAAGATGACAGTAGTGGAGAGATTCTCCAGCTCTTTGGAAGAAGACTCCAAACATAGCTCCTAGTCCCATTCCTGATATGCATGTCTTTTCCCACGGAGCCTACTTGGGTATCGGTAGAAGTGTCTCAGGATCAGCCAAGGCGAGAAATGGAAGTGGAACCTTATTCCCTTAAACAAAGGCTGCCAGATGAAGCTGATCATTATGAGATGGACTGCACTTGTTTTCCTTTTGCACTTCCCTATGTTTGGAATCATGGAATGACTTGACTCAAGAAGCAGTATGTCTCCTAAGGGTGAAGTACTTCTTTCAAGAAAACCAGCAGCAAACTAATCATCAGCTTAAGTAAGAGCTTCAAAAACAAATGCTTATTTCTGTGATTTTCAGTATCAGCCAGTAGCAAAGAAGTTAGGTCTTATGTGATTTCTTATATTGATCTTCTCTGTATGTCCTTCATCAAAGTTTTATCTAGTAATAAAGAGGCAGTATGAAAGAACTGTTATCAATATATGCAACTTGATTTTTTTTCTCAGAGAAGACAGAAGCAACTCTGTCGAAATCAGTTGAGATAAATGCTTCTAATAGCAGCATAAAAAAGGAATCAGCCTCTTGAGCTAATTAAGAATAACCAAAGCCACTTTTAAAGTGCTTCCTTTTGTATGTCAAATCTCAGGAATCAATGATTAGTTTTTAAAATGTAATTTGCTCAGAATTATGGAAGACTGTAGAAGCTTGATCCTTCTTCTAGTGAGGCTAATGAACAACTGTGGACTGAGGGTAAACCCTTCCATCAGCAATGGTAGAAGTAGTCTGCTAAGAGTAGACAGCCATGTAATTCACAGGAACATGCAAGCAAATGCAGCACCTTTGGCCATGCTAGCATTATCAGTGCAGTGTCGAACATAGCAATGAAGGATCTACACTCACAGACTCTTTCACTGTAAGGCTGCTCAGTCTGATATTTTGTTGTGTTGTTTTGTGTATCATTTCTTATCTTAATAGAGAATTTCAGTGCTGTGCTCAGCAACTGCAGTTTCTAGCAAAAAAGAAACAGTTTTGAAGGCCTTTTTTGCTGGAGCATAAGGCAAACAAAGTAAATAAACAAACAGCAAAACACCGTTATTTGTGTCTTTAATTTAATGTGTGTTTTAAATGTTATTTTTAATCCTCTTTTGCATGCATTTACTTCCTTCATGCAGTGGGATTTATAGCAAGTTCCAAGATTTTTAATGCACAATACATTGAATAAATTAATATGTGATTCAATTAGCAGCAAGAAATAACACTGCAATTATTTATAGAAATACCAACAGATAATTCTTGGAGGAGATTAGACACAGATTATTAACTTCTCTAAATGCCCATTTCATATCCCTAAGTCTTGCATTCACGTAAACATTCTACTCTCTCAGCAGCACTTTGCAGGAAAATTAAATGCCTATGGCATTAATCACCTGAGAAAGCTTTCCACACATCAGCATCCAGGATTATGTGACACCAGATAGCCTCTGATATGTTCTGACTAGAAGAGGTATGCTTCATAATTTACATGGGAGATGTGAGCCTGAGCTCTGTGTGTTCATTAGGACACTACTACTGATGGTGAGCAGCAGTGCATGATTGAAGAAAATGGTCTCCCGACAGGGGATTAAAAGGCAAATTTGACAGAATCAAATGCATCTGGAAAAGCAGTTATAATATGAAGTGCAATAGCAATAATTTAAAATTCAATTATTCAATTGAATAATAATAACCTTTTACTCAAGCTAATAAACCTTTGCAGGGATATGAAACACATAAAAGTCTCTGCCTTTTAAACAGAATAATAAAATTCATTGAATAAATGGTACTTTAATGTATAATTCAGATTTTGCCACTAAAGAGATAATTTCTACTGAACTGCTTTAGTCTTTCTTTCATTTCTGCATTAAAACCCTTGTAAATAGGTTTCTTAGAGATACAGAAAATGAACTTACATGAGCAAAGGTAGTATTCTGAATCCTTACTGAAGTAGGAAAGACTGTATATCACTGTTAATCTATTGAAGTGTGCATAGGGGTCAAATAAATGCATATGCGTTTGCATCTGAGAGGGTGTAAGGGGCACAGGAGGGAGGCAGAAATCATGATGTCACATGCTGGCTCTCATTTTGAATAGGGCATTAGCAAAGAATTGGTGGATCTCAGCAGTGCCATCTGACACCGGTTGTACAGACTACGGGGGGATAAAAAGAAGCTGCAGTGACTGCAGACACGTCTCACATGGAAACTATCATTTCTATGTGTATATTAAATGATATAACTTTGATGTAAACAAAGTTCTCAGTTCTTATAGCTCTCAGCTTTCAGAGATCTATATGCTGAACATTGCACTTGTTTCAGTACTCACTGAGGTTTTCCACCATATAGATCTACCAGCAGCATAACTTTTTGTGCATTTATTATTCTTGTTGTTATCGATAGTGGTGATCTTCAAAGGAATGGGGAAAGCAGGAGAAACTCATGGAAAACAATGTCCTTAAGGCAGCATGACTGTTCTACGGCTACTGCTCAGATAAGCTTGCATAAAGCTGAAAGGTAGAAAAATTCTAAGTATGGATGAAACAAAGGGCAAAGCACAAGAACTAAATGTCTGGAAATCATGTAGTATGCAATGGGGCTATACAATACTGATACTAATAAGCATACTGATGGCACATTTGGTGAGGTGAACAGCTTTGGTGTATTTTTATCTTAAATCAAAAGGAAAATTGCATTCTGCAAGAAGTCTAGTAAACATGCAAGACCTTCAAGAACTAGAAAGTTTCAGGATCTTGGCATAACACTAAAGTTTGAATTTCAACCTTGAATTGAAATAAAAGCATTTTAATTTGAGATGTTGCTGTAGTATCTCACTATAAATTAAAGCTGAGATGTGTTGTGCCTACTTCTTTACAGCTACTGGGCAAACCTGCTACATGGAAAAACTTGCTCATGCTATTTGTCAGAGAATCATAGAATCATTGAATTGTTTGAGTTGGAAGGGGCCATTAGAGGTCATCTAGTCCAACTCTCCTGCAATAAACAGGGAAACCTACTGTTAGATTGGGTTGCTCAGAGTCCCTATTCAGCCCAACCTGAGTGTTACCAGAGACAGGGAATCCCCTACATCTCTGGGCAACCTGTTCCTGTGCTTCACTACCCTTACTGCAAAAAACTTTGTTATAGACAATCTGGAACTCCCCTCTTTTAGAGTGAAACCATTTCCTTTTGTCCTATCACAACAGACCCTGCTAAAGAGTCTGTACCCTTCTTTCTTATAGCCCCCTTCTGAAAGGATACTGAAAGGATCTAGCGACCTACCAAAATGCACTGCAATGTCTCAACAGCCCCCTGGGGCATCATCAGGCACTAATCTACCCAGGAGCAAAGCAGCAAAAGTCTACAAAGGTCAGTTTTCAAGATGCACTCAGGTGGCACTTCAAAACAGAAATTTTCCATCTGAAAGCTTTTGAAATTCAGATTAAATATTATTATGATTTTGAATTTAAACTTTTTAATTTAAACACTTTAAACTATTACAATTTTGAATGAAAAATGTCCACTTTTTTTTTTTTTTCCCAGTTTACCAAGTCTCTCTCAAAATTTTTCTTTGTTTTCATCAAAATTTCCCATTTTTCTGGTCAAACATCAGAACGGTCTCTAGGTATTTTTATAAAAAGGACATACATTCCAGAGCTTAAACATTTTAGGATGTGAATGAATTAATTTCCTGCTATTGCACTGTAACTTCAGGAAAACCCATATTTTGGTTATCTTTGGTTAATATATTAAAGAACTTCGCAGTCATTTTTTGACTGAATGAGGGTGCATAAAAAAATAACATATTGATCCTGCAGAGCTGGAGACATTCTTTACTTCACTGGACTATCACATTACTTGAAAAAACATATCAACATATAATTTTCAAAAGTTGAAAAATCATCCATAGTCCAGTTTATTTCCTTAACTAAATGAGGAAAGGACGAATAAGAAATGTCATCAGGCTTTCAGTCATCAGTATAACAACATGAAAGACAAATAAAGAAATAAAAGAAAATAAACTGATCACCTAGTCAGTATTAATTCACAGAATTTCAAGGAATATTTTCCTGCTGAGCCTTTGGACAGCAGATTTTCAGTAATTCGATGAGATTTTCAGACTGCCTTGTAGAGTTACATTACATATAATTAACACAAATAAAAATATGAAAAATAATATTTAATAATGTGTAAAATGTGCTTATTATTATGTAACATGTGCTTTCACAGTCCACACGCATAGCACCTGAATTCCTGAAACAGTTACAGCTAAAGGAGAACTTGCATTGACTGTAAAAGGACCTACAAATATATACAAGAATACA